AGTGAGTTTTATCGTGTTAATTTTACAAGTTTATTTTTATTTCATTTCATTTTATTTCTTTAGTTAAATATTTTTACACTCGTATATTAGGCTTTTCAGTTCCTTATTGTACTCCTACTTCAGTTTATTTTCGAATTTCAAAATTGTTTAAATGTTTAATTTTTCTTTTAAATTTTACATTTTAAATAGTGTTCTTTCTCATTTACAGTTTAATATAGTTATTTTAAGCTTTTATGTATATATATTTTCTATCAGGGAAGTGGTTCCAGATAGACTGTACAGTCTTTTTCACAACCCCTGACCTATTTAGAAATATGTTATAGGATACTAATTGCATCGCGTGCGATATCAACGTACATGTACACTGTGTACGTACGTATGCCAACGGAGCTTTACGAGATTTGTGCAAATATAAATACGACCATGCACAGAGCATAGGTAATTTTAAGTTCAAATTAAATATAGTCTCACTGAAAATTTTAATCAGTAACAATTAGCATATATACATCCTGCTGACCAATGAGGGAGTTGGTGATGTCTGACTGGCAGCGGGCAGGGGCCAATCACAAACAGGGGCCGAGTTTTTTAGTCACTGCTTGGGAAATCGATGGTGAGTTTTTAAAGCAGGAACGGCCTCTATATTCTCACAACGACCAAAGCTCATATTCAACTTCAGACGACAAACGGAGAAAACTGTCAAGAAGAGCAAGATTGAAAAGTGAGTTTTTTTGCGGTACGTTTAAACACTACGAATCACATCTGAAACCTTTTAAAGGCGTGCGATTTGCTTAACGCCAACAATACTGTTTGAAGCAGAAAATTGCTAGTTATAATTATCGGTGGTTTTAGGATTCTGGTCACGGCCAGATATCTTTCTTAAGTAAACATTATCTTTGGGAGCGTTTTGCGAATTGCAGACGCTTCATGGTTTTAAAAATCCTGAAAATGGTTGTCTAGGAGACACGATTGCAGTCAGCCAAACCTTGTTACACTCTACTTCGTATACGTTTTGCGTTTCCAAAGGCCAAACTGTAGTTCTAACCTTTTGAATATTGAACATAAAAACAACACAAACGGTCTTTCACGGCAGTGTGTTTAAAGGTAATCTACAACATTTGCAAACAATACGAAACAAAACTACCAAATTATTTTGAAACACCTAATTTGACTGTAAGTAAATAATAGTACAGTCTTACGCATTGCAGGTGTACAGTACGCGCGCATCATGTGCCAACAAAGTGTTGTGCAGTAATTTGGTGATCGGACAATGGTCGGGAGTTATCTTCTTTCTTCCTTTCTTTTTTCCCCCGGACAATAATTTTCCGCGGGTTTTCTTCTGACCGGTATTACTTGAAAATTTGAACCAACATCAACCCTGAGCCACAGGTTTGCGTATTACTCTGACGTCATGATGACGTCATTTAGTGAAAGAGCGACACATATTCTTCCGCTTATAACTCGAGAACAAAATGATCAATCATCTTCGTACCATGCAGTCTGATAGAGCATACCTTGATGATTTGTTTTGGTCGTGTACTGGAATCGCTTGATCTTTCTTTCTGGGGGTAGCTACCGGAAGATCAAAGGTAGGTGAATTCAAAATGCAAACAGAATCCTTAAAATAAAAAAGAAGTTCTTCCAATTGTTAACGCGATGACGATAAAACTTGGTATTTAAAATTGATTTATTCAGCCGATGATTAAAAACTATCACAGGAATTTTGCTGATTTGAAAATGTATGAATTTAAACCCTGGTCCATTTTGAATTATACGTTTACAAGGAAACAGGCTAGAGTAACGTTCCCATTTTGTGTAGTGTTGCAGGCTGGACATTGCCTCGAGCAATGTATTCTTATTTCCAGCCGCAAAGCCATTTGACATTTACTATCGGCGTTACCAGCAGTACAATGAGGATCACATTTTCGTTTCGTGTTGGTTTCTTCTTTCTGTCTTTTTTTCTGGCCAATACTTCTCCGCAGCTTTTCTTTCAAACGGACAACGCATACAACAGAAACTCGGTGTTTACATTAAGCTTGATCGCAAGATATAGTGTGGCGTCATTATGACGTCATCTTACATACAATTATATTTAAAAAATACAGATTGTTATAATAACTCATGTACCGAACCAAGAGTCATTTTAACATTTTGTGATCCGATGCAACAAAGTACAAGCGATATAAGGTTCAAAATTGACAAAATACTTTCATTTATACATTTTGAACTGATCTGAGTAGCCTGTTCTTTTTAGTGAGGTGGTAGATATTGCCTTTGAAAAAAAAATCTTTATTTTTCAGTGTAGTGATAACTGAATATAACTTTTATTATTAAAACATTATTATCAACAAAACTAATTATTCAAATGTTCAATGCGGAAACTTCGACCTTTAGGTGGTCGTACCCTCACGTTTGCCTATCATATCTTAATGCAGGCAATTATGTGATACCCATTATGTAGCACCTTTATAAGGGTTTACAAGGTGCTGCGGTGCATATTGCAGTCACTGCCAGAAACACCGGCGGGCTAACCCCTTCTCTAAGCGATAAGTGCATTACACAACACACGGGACCCACGGCTTTACGTCCCATCCAAAGGACGAAGCAAAAATGGTAAAGTGCCTTGCTCAAGAGCACAAGCACCTTGTTCCCAGTCAGGATTCGAACCCACATACCACGGGACACGAGTCGAACGAACACCGTAACCAATGGACCACAGCACCCCACAACTTAACAGGTATACTCCCGCAGCAAATGTGTTGACGTTCTAATTTGCTGCCGAACCCGAACCCAGCCAATATGTTCGGATAAACATTGCCGAACCGAAACCGAAACCGAACCTAAACCAAGTGAGGGTTCAATATCAGATAGAAATTTTACTTTTCATCCAGATCGTAAGCAAATCTAAGTACCTCGATCTTAATCCTCGATCTCTACTAGTAAAGTAGTATCTCTTGTATCTATAAATCTAATGTTTTTGTTGGGTTGTAGTTGAATGAAAAACGTGGATGCATGGCGGTCATGAATGTTCGTGTTGCATGGATTTTTGGACACAGACGTGAAGTCAGTTCATATATTTATTGTTGATCAAAATGTCACACCAAGCGTCACGTTTTTAATTTTTCCTTTCTCTCGTTCTCTGTCTTCTCTCTCTATCCCCGGTCGAGGTGAAGAGGTCAATGTGCGCAAAGACAAGTCTTAATGCCAGCCCCGGATAATCTTTAGTCGGCATTCATGGCATGGTATCAATCTGGGCCACCAAAAATGTGTTGAATGTGTGTTCCTTCAACACCTTTACCATTTACTCAAAATAGAGAAATCTATTGCAGTGTTTTTTAATTCTTGTAATTCTTGTAAAACTAATACTTAACAAAACATAATTGAAAACCACTGTAAATATGTTTTTCTCTTGTCGAGCATGTCTGTACCATTTTTGTGTCTTTGAACAGTATAAAAACCAACGGTTGTCGGAAATTTGAAAAAGAATGGCTGCCATCTTGAAAATAAAAAGTAAAAATATAAAGCCATGCAACCTCCATTTTTCCCCCAAAAATGTAGTTTTTTTTACTGGGCCTTATTTGGAGAAGCATATGTTGCATTATTTTGTAGAAAATATCTTTTTTTTTTAAATTTCTGCAAATGCATTATATGCTTGTCATTTAAAGGAATTTTTATCCTTTTTTTGTTTTTGCATGGGCATAATAAAGCTCTGCTCTGAGCTAAATAATTATAATTTCGTACAGTGAAGCCACAAACCATTATTTGTTCGTTAGCTCAGAACAGAACTTCAGTATGCCCATGCAAAAACAAAAAAGTCATAAATATTTATTTTTAGACGATGAGCATTTTGCCGCATAAACTCCAAGGACGTTACAGGTTCCGTCAAACTCCATATTGAGGTCTACTGATGCTGTTTTTTTTTGAGTAGCCACAGGCCTTATGTGCAGGACCAGAAGTGCGATTCAAAAAATCAGATTATCTTGCATAATTACATGTCGAGAACAGAGGGAATTAACATCATTTGCTGTTGCTGTAATTTTCGGAAATGGATAGATAGACAGAAATACATAGCAAATATGGTTACACTGTCTCTTTTGACGTTTTAGGTTCGTAGATGCTATAAAAACCAATAAAAACAATCAGTTTCCTGTAGTCTGGTTCCCTGACTCCATTTAAGATGAAACGGAGCAATTTATAGACATTTGGGAGTTGTAAGGTCTGGGAACCAGTCTAGCTGGCTTGTACCCGTTCATAGATGTTTAATCGATTGCAAACAAATGCGGACTAACTAGATATTGTCAATTGGGGACAGTATTTGCAAAAAAGCCAGTTTTTTTTTCCAACGCTGTTCGGCCGACCAGCCTTGGAAATTGATACAAAAATAGCTAAAGTATTGTGTTATAAGGAAATGTAATTTTAAGGCGCGAGCTTTCGGCCTATTTCCCACGTTGCTGGAAAAAACTTTCGAATTTGAAGTTAATTTGATAAAGCTCGCGGCCAACGGAATGCGACTGGCAAAGTGACTACCATTGGATTGAGATGAAAGGCAACCAATGTCACATGCGAAGAGGTGGTAATGGGGCGAAGTGGTTATTTTTCCGATCTAGGCTGTTACGCCCAACGTTCCAAATATTCTAAGGAAGTATGTAGTCTTTCCAAGCCAATTACCCCAAAAAACCTTCAATAAATATTTCACATTATCAAAACGGGGGTAGTTGAGCAGCCAAAACAGACTAGCCTAGCTCAGTGCCGCACCCAGGGGGGGGGGGGGGGGGGCCCTCGGGGGGCTCGAGCCCCCCACCAAGGGGTTGTCTCTTTTTTTTTTTTTTTATTTAATCCCACGATTTGACCTTGGTGATATGTATTAGGTCAATTTTCGAGTAGTATAATAGTGACAAATAAGTGGTGCCACCAACGTCAATATAGTCTGCCCCCATTAAAAAAAAACCCAATGGGTGGGCCACTGGCTAGTACTAGCAGCAGACGAGTTTGGGAGTTCAGACATGGACTCGTGAACCTTCCAAGGTGTATAAAGCTTATTTCATCATCTTTCATTTTCCGGTTGTTTTTTTTTTTTTTGGGGGGGGGGACCGATGACTTTCGGGAGAAAATTCTATCTAGTTGATCACCCCTATAAAAGCATTCCTCAAGTCTATCGCCATTTTTGAAATAAACGCCTACGCTCCATTGCAAAATAGAGCCGTTCCAGGCCAAATTGCTTACAAATTTTACAGTAATGCTACCCGACTATAATGAATAGAGACGTTCTTATGAATAGAACAGCAAATTGGGAACAATCTCATACGTGTTAACTGTGCCGTGTGTTTTGATAAGTATACATCGACGCCACTTACTAAGTATGTTGGATCACAGCAGGCATAACGGATTCCAAAGTGGAAGATTCAAAAGACCCGACACGCCCACTCTGAAGTCTTATAATCAAAATGGCGGTTAAGTGGAATTTTCGCTGTGCATGCTGGGGGTTCATCTCGTCGCTTCTAGCTTCGGTCCTTCTCACCTATTGCTTTTCTTCTCAGTCTCATCTCGCCTTCCGAGTCATAGCAGGTGAGTTGTTGCTTTTATTGACAAACAAAAATCCTTTTTAGGGGTAAAGTTGCAACTTTCTAAATTGTATATGGAACCTATACCAAGACGTATTACGTGGGATAAGTGTGTCTCCATCTTATTTCAAATGAGACCCACTCTATGGGCTCATCTGCTATATTATAAAATAATTATGAAGAGAACAGAAATTTACGGATAGCTGGAATAACGACTATACAGCCAATGGTCATATTAACATTGTTGCCTGAGGGCCATACTTATGTCATCTTTGTACCAATCTCATCACTGACTGACCCACTGACTTACACACTCTCACGTATGGCTTAGCCTGGTTGTTCGCCGGTAAAGAGAGCCCGTCATTGCTCAATCCGACCTATTGTGTATGTACGCCACATGCATGAAAGACTTCCATCGCAGTGAATGGCCAATCTGAATCAACTAAATCCGTCCTGTTACCAGTTTTACCAGGCTTGCCTGACTGACTCCTATGAATCCATTTCATTGCATCAGGCGCTGCAGCAGTGCTGATTGGCATCTCATCTCTGATTGCCTTCCACATCTCGACTCTACGATGCTCTGAGAGCCACACACTCATAACCCTACTCATGTCCTACAAGTGGCACCAGGGTGAACGTCTAGCCACGCCCTCCATCTCAGCAAGGGCCACTTACATGTGGAAACGTCCGCGTGAAGCACAGGAAGATCTGATAAGGGAGCTGACCAGGCGACATGCCAAGACGGAGTACGGGCGCAAGAACCGTCTTGGGGAGATCCGATCGGTGGAAGACCTCCGCGAGAAGCATCCTCTCACCACGTACGACCACTATAGTGACTACATCCAGCGGCTGGCAGACGGAGAAGAAGGCGTTTTCCTTGACGAGGAGCCCTTGCGATTCGGCGTCACATCGGGAACCACCGGAGCCGGGAAGAAAATACCACTGGTTTCTTTTAGGCTGGAGGGAGATGCACTCTGCAGCCAGATCAGGCGCTTGGCTTTGTACCAGGGTGCTCACCGGCCAAGCCCTGTACAGAAACGCTGTTTCGTCTACATCCATCCCAAAATCTCTCTCACCAAAACTGGCCGTGTCATTTCTCCGTACACGTTCATCAAACAGGAGGACACTAAGCGTTTATCAGAGCTCAGCTCTCCTCCACCGGCCTTCACTATCACAAATGAGCCTTCTGCCGCCTACGTTCACATGCTGTTCGCAATTGCTGACACCAATCTCGCCCTCCTGTCTACCGTGCTTACTCCCCAAATGTACCGAGCTCTGAAGTGTCTAGAGGCCAAATGGCAAGTAATGCTGGAGGATCTATCGACCGGGCAGATCAATGCTAAGATCCCTCTAGACCCTGATACACGCCGGTCTCTCCAAGGCTATCTGAGACCGAACAAGGCCCGCGTATCCCAGTTGAGAAGCGAATTTGAGAAAGGGTTTCATGGCATTTTGAAGAGAATCTGGCCTCATCTGATCGCCATTGAAGCAATCGACATCGCGGGTTTCAAGAAGAAAATTGAAGAAACATATACTGATGGTAAGGGTTAATTTGAACCTAAATCTCATCGTGCGCCTTAAATACGATCTGCGTAAGCACTGTGAAAGAACCTGAGCAAAACAGAATCAAATCATTATCCTCGTCCTACTAAAAAAAAGAAAAAAAAGGAAACTCTGTCAAGTGTCGTTAGCCATCTTGATCTATCCACTTGTCTAAAACATGATTCGTAATGACTTACCACTGGTCATGTCTTGGCTAGGAGTTCCATACTTCAATTGGGCATATGGCGGCACAGAGGTAGGCCAGCTGGCGATCAACATGTGGCTTCATGACAAAGAGGTTCGATACGCCATCTGTCCTCATATGGCCGTCGTAGAGTTCATCCCGGAGCAAAACAGGTGTGTGATAATCACAGAAGAAAAAAAAATGGTCCACTTTATTTTTGTTCCCCTTTTCGAATCCTTAGTTTCTTGAAATACTTACAGATTCCTTTGCCATGAAAGCAAACCCCCAAAATGGTCAATCTATTTAATTCCTTCTGTTATTTTTCCAGTTCAAATAATTGTTGTTATGGGTCGACTTCACAATCATTATGTAGTGATAATACACAAGGTCACTTTCCCATTGTGGTTTAATGTGAAAAGTGATTCCCATATTTCCTAGGTTTGCGACGTTGCTTATTTTGCTTGCATCGTGACATCCGGGCCGCAATCCCTGGCAACATGGCATTCGGATTTATGGCTTCTGACTAGTGCCTCTGAACAGTGGGAGATACTCTTGGGGGAAAATGGATAGCTTTGTAGGTACATGTAGAACGCCGATACGGTAATACGGAGGCTGCATGCCATGTCCAATTACCACTCTTGTCGATATCTTTGTTCAACTTGAGACCTTTTAATTTTGAACAGTTCGGATGAAGACCCAAAGACTCTGCTCATTGACGAGGTTGAGGTCGGTGGCAGATATGAACTGGTGTTGACCACGCGCTCCGGGCTATACCGTTATCGGAATGGAGATGTCATCCAGATTGTGGGATTCCACGAGAACTGCCCTGCCATGCGCATGCTCTACAGGTAAACAACAAAACCAAGTAATCCTAGAAAGTTGATGCCAGAGCGGGCAAAATTTAATTGATTCAGTATGGCTTTTCAATGGGAGTCTTTTCATGCATCTGGTCTATACAGGGTGAGTCAAAAACATGAAACCCAAATGTCGGGACTATTGTTTTAGTGAGGTTCTGCATGTAGCACTTTTAAAATCTAGGATGTTAAAGCCCAATTCATCAGCTTTCTTTTAGTTTAAAAATTATTCAAATCACGTATGTACTTTTCAAGTTACAGAATTTTAAACACAACCACCGTTTTAAAGTTCTGTCCACAAATCACGCAGAAAGTGTGCTTTCTTTCAGCAAAACGAAAACAATTCACATCCCTATGCGATTTGTTTTCATTTTGCTGAAAGAACACCTACCTTTTTGTGATCCGTGGACAGAACTTTAAAACGGTGGTTGTGTTTAAAAGCCCATAACTTGAACAGTACACAAGTGATTTGAATGATTCTTGTACTAAAAGAAAGCTTATGACTCGGGCTTTTATATCCTATTCTAAAAGTGCTACATTTAGAACTTCACTAAAGCAATGGTCCCGACATTTGGGTTTCGTTTTTTTTTTTTTACTCACCCTGTATGATGGATATGCATTTTGTAAACCTATACCATAGGATTATATTATAATTGAAGTCCATCTGACAAGTGACAGTCAGTATTAAAGTCCGCGAGCTAGATAGGGACACTAGGCTAGGCCCTCTAGAACCAGCTAAAAGTTTGATCGCATTGTTTAATGACGCTCTTTTTCAGGTCAGGAGAATATCTTAATTTAGTCTACGAGAAAGTGAACACCCAAGTTGTTGACGCTGCCATAAAGAACACCATTCAAGGCTGGCCAGGAATTCAACTAGTGGATTGGACATGCGCAGAGAGCCCAGTTTACGATCCTGAAAGTTCAGGTAAGCTATATTTAAAAACTACTTTGAATCACCAGATTTTGAAAATGCTGCAACAAACACTGAGGAGCGATTTAATGACGCGATAACTTTCCTTTTCTTTTCTGGCCTTTTGTTTCGGCACAGAACTATACTACATTGTATTTCTTGAGGTCGATCCTGGCAAGAGGGAGCTGAATGACGTCACGGCAGAGCAAATGTCAAAGGTAATTAAGTCAACTCCAAAGTTAGAGAAGTTTCACAAATAGTTACGAGCTTTGAATATTCTGGATTTATAAAGGGAGTTTGTTTTCCTTCGTATGAGATTATGACATAGGCCTACTATGCACAGGTTCTTTAAAGTAAAAGCCAGTAATGTGTCGGAAAGGCTGTCGGAAATACATGTTTAACATATCAACAGTTTTAGAGGTATCCTTCGGTAACGAGACTATTTTCATCGTTCATTTCAGTTTGATGAACATCTTCAGCAAGACCACGTCTACTACAGCGGCTTGCGGGAGTCTAATACCATCTCTCCATCCCGGGTGAAATTTGTGAGGCCAGGTACCTTTCTGGAGCTAAGGGACTTCAGGGTGAACAAAACTACAGCTTCTGTCATGCAGTACAAGACGCCTCGTAAATTGAGGACGCGAGAGCACGTGATTTGGCTGATGGAGAGAGTGATCGAGACCAAGTAGGGAGACTATTGCAAAAAGTCAAAAAGCTAGTTATCATCTCGCACACCACTTAGGAAAAAGGGATTTTTACTGATTAACATGTCAATGCTTATCATTTTTTTGATAAAATGGTCAATTTGGTATTTCAAGTGTGCATGCGTTAATTATAACGGATCATGGGTCATTCGGGATAACATACAGAAGTGATCTTCGAGACATGACAAGAAAGCTGTATCGGTTTCTTATGGTGCTTTCTGCAGTTCGGTCGTCTTTATCCTGGATGACCTTTGACCGGACCAACCACATGCACAAGAATGAAGTATTATATGCCTAGTTTGGCTGATTTAGTGTTGAATGACGTCACAGCACGCATATGTACAAAATAAAGATGCGTCCTTTACACGGCACGCCTACATTCCGTGAAAGAAAATCAGTCTAAATAATGACAATCTTACACTTCTTACTACTTTATCATTTTAAGTCTCCTCTTTCGATACGGTTTTTTTATATCAATACCGATACTTGAAATTGTTAACTTGTGGTTATATCTGATTCAAAAGTTTTGAAGAGACAACGAAGCTGATGACCTGCCATATCATAATGAGGAATATCCCCCACCTGTGACTCTTCAAGCTACGTACATCATGTTAAAGCACAAATCATTGGCTTTTCAATGATACCAAATCTATTTATATAGCTAAATTTATTCCAAAGATATGCCAGGAAATTCAACAGTGTCTCGCCGAACTTCGCCAACCTCATTTCGTGAAAAAAACCGGCTTTGAAAAAAAGAAAAGAAATACGCATTGCGCCGCCAACGGCAGTGGAAAACGTTATTTAGTTTCCAACTTTTGGGGGTATTGAACAAAAATGCATAGTGTGAATCTTGGATACCTTGGCTACTTAAAAATAAGAAAAAAAAAACATATTGATTTTGCATGATTTTTCTAGTGCATCCAACTTCAGGCGTTGATAACTCAGAACATGGTTTTGGGGGACATTCCTCATTTTGCCACAGTAGGTAAAAAGGGTTAAGTGGGCACCCAAACCTTAGGCACCTTATTACTGATCTTGTCTCCCCCTCCATCGACTTCGGTTCATTCTTGAAGGTTTGGACGAAGCGCCCTGCAAGTCATTTGTCGTTGGGTGATAAGGAGCTGAAGCTATGTGCCACACTCCATGGTGTTTCAGGATCCTTAATTCCTCTGATTTGAACTGCGGACCATTGATACTAACAAGTTGCTCAGGGACAATGTGTTGGGCGTGAATGCCCCTTGGGAGATCAGTCGTCCAGCTTGATAGTGAAGTGGTTGTCTGGAAGAATTGAGGCCGTTTTGAATGTGCATCAACAGTTACCAGGATCGTCTGTCCTTAGAATAGGCCAGCGCAGTCGATGTGTATTCTCTGCCAGGGTTTCGCGGGCCATTACCCGTTTTGATATGGAGTAGAGCTTAAAAGGGCACTGCGTCCTGAAATCCCCGAAAATCTCATGCTTTGGATTGTTTACTTATCCTATTTCAAACATCTGGTTGAAAGGAAACCAATCTAATGTCTAACCATTTTCATAAATTGTTAAATGTGCCACGCAAAATTGAATAGCTCATGTACTAACATTTCGTTATTAAGAGTTAGAATGTCACATCTCTACCAAGAGAATTAACCGCAGTGTCAGAATGTTGATATTTTGCAAAAGCCTGTCAGCCGTTGATGATGGATCCAGAGTTTTCAGTTGCAAAGTGAAAGTTATAATGGATAAATAATTTGAAAAATTACCATCTAACATCGAAGTAAGTGCTATTTCATTTTTGATTGTATGTGTATATATTTGTGTGGGGAATCGATTATTTAAAACCGCTGCGTCCCAAAGGACGCCCTTCCTAACGACCACTGTTATTCCTTGCATGGACCGCACAATGAAAACCTTGACGAGCTGGAAGCAGGATTGTGCTCGGATTCAAAAACAGTGACCACTGCACTGTAGTATTCTCTTGCATTTAAACTCGAGGCAGTGGAATGTCTTTAATACCTGGTGGTTGGGGTTTGTTATTTCCTTCATATCGTAGAGAGTATGGAGACTCCCATTCATTAAATCAAATACTGAAGTAGAAGAAAATCTAAGTGGAGAGAGTGTCATTTACTGGTCAGTCCCAGGAAGAAGAAATTCTTCACACATGGTGACAAGCTACCATAATCACAAACCCAAGGGTTCGCACATCGCAGTTCCTTTCTTTTATTTTTTAGAAAACAAAAACAACTTTATTGTTGCAAACAACTCGTATTATCGTGTCTTCTGCATTCTCATCTACTTTTCTAATTGTTGAAGTTGTTTAGGATAAGGGAATGATATCAAAGGGCACGGTGAAGTAGCCTTATCGTGTGTACGGGTATTTGTTTTGATAAATGTACACACCGACGCCACCTAGGTCCTCCAGTCAAAATGGCGGTTACTTGGAATCTTCGCTGTGCATGCTGGGGTTTCATCTCCTCGCTCCTAGCTGCGGTCTTTCTCAGCTATTGCATGACTTCTCAATCCCATCTGGCCCTCCGAGTAACAGTAGGTGAGTTGTCGTTTCCAATGACTTTTCTTTTTTGGAGGGGGAGGGGATTAGGTTTCATTTTCCAAAGAATTAATGAAATCTATACTAGTCCATGTACGCCAGGCACAATCCCAACTGATTATCTGGGATAATTATGGCTCCACCTTAATCTCAAACAAACCCACTTTATCGGGTCAACAATAGAAATTTACCGTTGGCTGAAAATAATTACAACATCCAATGGTCTAGCTTGAATAGTTTTCCTGGACACAGAGGGTCAACCTAGCAGTGGCGTATCCTGGGGGGGGGGGGGGGGGGGGGGAGGAACTTTGCCCCCCCGGCGGATTTTTTTGACAATTGTTTTGTTTCAGCAATAATTTAAAAAAATGGTTAGAGAGTTCTGACATCAATGGTTCAACGTCCCCTATTGAGTGCAGAAACAGACTCAGCCATTCTGAAATCAGTTGAATAGAATTGTGGCCAGTTTTTACATCAGGCTCGACTGTTAGTGACGCATTGGGAGATCCATATTAAGCAGCGCTATTTTGGTCTCGCAAACCCCTCTGGCGAAACTGAGTACGCTTGTAAAAAATGAGGTATTTATTCATGGACATCTACCCAACGGAAAACATATACCATAAAGAAAATGTGGTGATCGGGGCGAAATCATGCGCGGGTCGTTGCTGCACGTCGAATCGCTTATGCCAAAATACTACCAAATGCTGCCACTCTGAAATTACGGAGAGAATTTAATATACAAACGTCCCTATTATACAAACAAATTGTACTCACATGAATGACCTTGATCGATTAGGTGCTGCGGCAGTGCTGCTGGGCATCTCATCCCTGATTGCCTTCCACATCTCGACTCTACGATGCTCTGAGATTCACACCCTCACAACCCTACTCATGTCCTACAGGTGGCGCCAGGGTGAACGACTAGCCACGCCCTCCATCTTGGCAAAGATCAATCACATGTGGAAACATCCGCGAGAAGCCCAGGAAGATCTGATCCGGGAGCTGACCAGTCGACATGCCAAGACGGAGTACGGGCGCAAGAACCGTCTTGGGGAGATCCAATCAGTGGAAGACCTCCGCAAGAAGCATCCGCTCACCACGTACGATCACTACAGGGATTACATCCAGCGGCTGGCAGACGGAGAAGAAGGCGTCTTTCTTGACGAGGAGCCCGTGCGATTCGGCGTCACATCGGGAACCACCAGAGCCGGGAAGAAAATACCACTGGTTTCTTTTTGGCTAGAGGGAGATGCACTCTGCATGCAGATCAGGCGCTTGGCTTTGTACCAGGGTGCTCACCGGCCAAGCCCTGTACAGAAACGCCGTTTCTTCGACATCCATCCCAAAATCTCTCTCACCAAAACTGGCCGTGTCATTTCTCCGTACATGTTCATCAAACAGGAGGACACTATGCGTTTATCGGAGCTCAGCTCTCCTCCACCGGCCTTCACTATCACCAATGAGCCTTCTGCCGTCTACATTCACATGCTGTTCGCGATTGCCGACACCAATCTCGCTCTCTTGTCTACCATGTTTACTCCCCAATTGTACCGAGCTCTAAAGTGTCTGGAGACCAACTGGCAAGCAATGTTAGATGATCATCTACCGGGCAGATCAATGCTAAGATCCCTCTAGACCCTGATATACGCCGGTCAATCCAACGCTATCTCAGACTGGACAAGGCCCAAGTATTCAAGTTGAGAAGGGAATTCGAGAAAGGCTTCCATGGCATTTGAAGAGAATCTGGCCTCATCTGGTCGCCATTGAGGGAATCGACATCATGGGTTTCAAGAAGAAACTAGAAGAAAAATTTAGTTATGGTAAGAGTTAAATTGAATAGAAATCTGAAGAGTGTGTGCCTTAAATTCAATCTACGCAAGCACTATGAAACTACACATAAGAACCGGAGCCCAACAGAATCGATTCATGTATTGGTCCCACCAAAAAAGGGGAATACTAAGTGCCAAGTTAATATTTGCCATCTTCATTAATACAATTGTCTTAAAAAATGTATTGGTATTAAATAACCATTGATCTTGTCTTGGCTAGGTGTTCCTTGCTTCAGTTGGGGATACGGCGGCACAGAGGTAGGCCACCTCGCGATCAACATGTGGCTGCATGAGAAAGAGCTTCGATACGCTCCCTGCCCCCACATGGCTGTCTTGGAGTTTATCCCGGAGCAAAACAGGTGTGTGATTATTATAGAAGACAAAGTGGTCCACTTTACTTGTCCTCCCTTTTCTTATTCCTATTTTTTTTTTTTAATACCAAAAGATTACTTCATCATGGAAAGTTGTAATAAAAATCCGTATGGTATCTCTGAGTGATTCCCGTATTTCCTGTAAATTTGCGTTATTGTAAGCATCTTGACTTAGGGCGTGATCCCTAGGCACATGGCATATGGGTTTATGGCTTTTGAAAAGCGCCCCTTAACAAAACAAATTGACACAATTTAATTGGGAAACCAGCAAAATGGACAGCTCTGTTGGTAGGGCGCCGATA